ACACTCAGACTTGTTAATCCCCCGCCTCGGCACCCACCCACCCACCCACCCACCCACCCACGCACGCACGCACGCACGCACGCACGCACGCACGCACGCACGCACGCACGCACGCACGCACGCACTCACTCACTCACTCACTCACTCACTCACTCACTCACTTGGAGTCTACCACTGGTGTGGATTTCGGAAAGGATTCGCACGACCCGTCCAAATGATTCATTCGTAGAAGATAAACAGATTCCCGCGCAAGAACCTTAGTAGGTGCAGCCATGCTGTCGTCAAAAGGATGGATCCCAACTCCGGATTCGGCCGGGTGTCAGGCATGAAGGCTTCGGGCGCAAGCCGTGTCAGAACGGTTGAAAGGCAACTAACGGCTAACAACTTGGCTTTCGCACACTTTGCTGCAGGAATGCCTTCTGCCACCATGCAGGAGCACATCAAGTGGAACCTGAAGCCTCAGGCATATCAGAACGCATCAATCACATCGCTATCTACGAGTCGCATTGTTGTTTTTTTTGCATTTTCGACATCAGCTGTAGAAGCCCTCATGCAGGGTCTGCATTGCCATCAACGTTCTCCTGTCAGAAAGAGTTTTCCTGCATCGAGCACGAAAGACGCTTCCTTCGAACTGTTCTCCTTTGTTTGCTTTGCCTTTGCCTTTACTTATCGCTTGGCTCTCGAAGAATCGATGATCTGCCAGCCACAATGATCGAACCAGGCTCCGTTGAGTCCGTTGAGTTTCTCGAAAAATCCGTTTTGTTTTGAATGGTATATCTCATGCCAAAGCTCGCATTGTCTTTTGCAAGGGCTCTGCCATCTCTGCCATCTTGAAAGCCAAAGGCCTGTCACGCGATGTCCTTGCTTGTGTCAGCCCGAGCAACACGAGCGGAAGTATTTCACATCCATGGATTCAACGTTGTTCGTCGCTTCAATCAATCAGGACCATGGTTTATCCCAACCTGAGCTTCTCTCCGGTGCTCCCAACGAACGAACTGTCTGGTTTTCAACTGCTTCATAGTTGTAGCGGTGCTCTGCTTGGCAAGCTGCCAGCTTGCCAATCAGATGCCTGGTCCTGGCAGCGCTACAGAAAGTTATTGAACATACTAGCCAGCAGCTGGATCCAAATGATTTCAAGGACAATTACGAAGCGTGTTTGTCTACATCGTTGCCTCACTCTTTCTCATGGTGAAAGAACATACTTGTGCAAGATCTGAAGCGCCATGTGCCTTCGTCCGCGTGATGTCTAGTCTTATGTCTGAGAATTGCGATGCAATCTTTCGCCGCCAATCAACTTGGCATGATTTGCAAAGCGGTTCAAATGTAGCTGATCTTTCACATGCCCATGGGGCCTTTGGTACCCTACAAAGGGCCAAGAGCAGGTACCTGCCTCATGACTTTCAGGGATTCCGGCGCCATGCCGCAGGGTGGTGACTTGCACAAGTGGTGCTTCCGCGCTTCCCACCATCTCGAGGTGATCATGTTGCAGAAATGAAACCGCGCCGAGTTGTCGAGGGCGCGTAATGGCAGGCGAACCACTGAGATCGCCTGTCAACGGGACCCCGGAACACCCGCTACTGTAGCTGTTGTGGCAGCGATTTGGAAGAAGCCGCTATCTGGTGGGTCCACTTTAGCGTGCCACATGCTCCACACAAGCCTCATGCTCCGAGGTCGAGACGCACCCGGGGAAGCAGCAGCCACTGAAGCCACCGCAGCCACCACCGACGTCAGAGCCGCCGCAACCGCTGCAAGCGAAGTGAAGTCGGCAGAGGCTGCGAGAGTGAGAAGGTAAACCCAAGCCCCCAAGCCCGCTTTCCAAGAGAGGGGAGAGAAAGGGAAGGGGAAGTCAGGGGAAAAACATGGGTGCTCCAAGCATGCACTCCGCGAGATCGATTCCTAGCGCGACGCCGCACCAGCGGTGCCCTGCGCTGTCTTCGAGGCTCAGAACTCAGCTGTCCATGGGGGTTGGCAGGGGCCTCCACGTTGTGGTCCGTCCAGGTTTGCTTCGAAGGACAATTAGCATGCCCGCGGCTCAGCGGGAGACAGGCAGGGTCACAGCGAAGTTGGCGCATCTTGCGGAACTTTGCAGGCCGAAGCCCAGCGCTTCAGAGGCTTCGGGACCGGGACCATGCCGTCCAGAAGTCGTGGAAATCTCACTTAGCCTTAGTAATTAGGAGGCCATGCCTGGATAAAAGTCCAGGTTGGCCGCAGGGTGCTCAGGGCGAGGGAGCCGTCATTGGAAATTTTTGAGCATTGCACAGTGCTCTGTGTTGGTCTCTTGTGAGCATCGCGCGCATAGTAGCGGCTCTTTCCCCTGGCTTACGCACCGCCTACAAGAAGATGGCAGTGTTGTCTTTAATCGTGAGTGAGACTACAAGTTGCGGTGGATGTACCACGTCTCACACTCCTTGCATTGTACAGTAAGTATAGTAGGTAATGAAGAAGCTAGCGATTTTCAGCTGGAGCTGACGGATAGGGCCCAGTGAGTGCCTATGGAAGAACGAGACAGCTCAGGGCAAGCTTTCGCTTGGCCCATCCCAGAATTGAGTTCTACTGCACGTGTGAAGTCGGTCTCGACTGGTGTTCTTTCATGCCTTTTTCGGTGGCATGCGAGACACAGGTTGCGAGAATGCGTGTGGTAAAGGCAACGTCGCTTGATACAAGCTCCAGAAGCCTCACGGCCTAACACGTGTCGTCCATGTCCACGATTCAAGCATTTTGCTCGGTCAGAGTACAGCGATTCGCAGTCTGCACCAATCTACACCCCTCTAGCCTCCTACTTGGGTCTCCCACTAAACTTAAGCCGCAGGTTGGGTCTGAAGCATCCTTGTCAGCCAAAGAAGCAGTCATATGATTCATTATAATTCCGTAATTCCGGCAGCTCTGTGGAATTATGGCTGGCTATGCCAATGCGGCAGCTCCGACTGCGAATACCTCTGCCGACGCTTGGGTGAATCAGTTCGAGCTGCACGCTTTTCATCATTATTTCCAGCAGCCTTCCTGCTCGCTTGCATCTCGTACACTGCACAATTGCAAAGCACTCGGCAAACCCTGCAGATGGCAACAGTGGGGCACCCGGGCAAAACGGCAGAGCAAACGGCAGAGCAAACGGCAGCGGACCTGATCCGCGCCTCAGCTCAGGTGGAAGAGCTCCAGCGCCGTGCGGCAGAGCTGCGGCAGGAGCTGCAGCAGGCCGAAGCACCGAAAGGACTCGCTACTCGTAAGATGCGTCGGCTCTCGTTCTTCACAGGTCGAGGCTGAAATCGAGAGAGAGGAGGCATGCGCGATTCAGGGGCCCATGAAGAGCAGCACCTACTTGCGCTTGGTGCAAAAGGCGCTGCTGAGTGCTGGCACGGCGCAAAAGCTCCACCACCGTCCCAGCTATTCGCTATTGAAGGGCACCGAGGACTTCGGACACCTAAAGCCCCGCGCATAGGGCCTTTGACTTCGTGCGGGCTTATTGGGATGGCTTGGGACTTGGGCCTTAAGCACTCGGATGTATTTGCTCGCTGTTTGTGCCGGGGTGGGGAGTGGCTTCTGGCAAACATCGCGGCCTTGATATGAACGTAAAACTGAGCAGGGCCAGATCCAGGAACGCATGTATAGCGAGAGAAGGAGTTAGACGCGAGACCAAAAACTCACAGTTTTCGCTGCCGGGGTCATCTTTATCGTTGTAGTTCCTTGTACGTTGAGTTTTCGGATGCTCATGGCTGTGCAAAACCGAGCTCGGCACTCAAGTCGCACATTTCTGTGGCTCAGGGTTTCGAGGAAGATGACGGAGGGCACAACGTGCCCACATATGTTTTTCGTGTTTTTTTGGACTTCCAGTTAGCTTTTTCTTCCATCTGTAAGCTTGTTCGTGCGCAGCTTGTCGAAGCAGTCGGAATCCTGCAGTAAGCTCAGAAGCCAGCATGCAGGCAGCAAGCGACGGAATAGCACAGAGGAAAAACGAGACAGACCAGTTGCATCAGTCGACTGTACTGGGTGGTGTCTTTGTGAATCCGATTCCCTCCTGGCCCTAGTTGCTACATCACTTTGATGTTTGGAGCACAGCGCAGGACGAGGCTCCCCCTAGTGGTCTGGTCCGACAAGTTAGCGATCAGAACTTCGACGAGATTTTGAGGTGCAGAGAGGGAGCAAGGGCTGGGTTGGGCAATGTTGGGCCTTTGATCCTGCACCAGGACATTTCCACCTCTGGAGATCTCACCCATTGGGTCCTACAACCACTGGGACCGGCGAGAGTGCCTGGGCGGCAGAAGCAACGCCTCGCACGTGCGTCCGCCTGCGCCTCTGTCTGCCGAGCACAGGTGTGCTGTGGCCAACGCCGAGGCCTGGAAGGGCGAGTGCTCCAGGTACCAGAAGGCGTGACCTGGGCCCGGCTTGAGCTTCGAACAATTTCGAGCATCTTGAGTCGGCGCCGCGCTGGAGAGGCGGTGCTGAAGGGGAAGGCGCAGATTCCGAAGGTAATCCATCAGATCTGGATCGGCCCCAAGGCCTTGCAAAAGAGGTGGTTTGAACAGCTTGGCTTGGCTCTCTGCCTACGCCGCAGGAGCCCCCTTGCCTCTGGATTGATACCTTCCGGGTGGAGTATTTAGCAGCCCATCCGGGCTGGTCTTTCCATCTCTGGAGTGACGACGAGGCGAGCACTGCAGATGGGGCTCTTTCACAACCGTCGATCACTTGTGTCCATGCTTGCAGTGTCGATACCCGCTTTTCGGGGGTAAACCAGTGTCAGATTTTTAACGTTTACTTTGTGATCTTACATAGGGATAGTTCGGAATAGTTATTCGGTATGGAACCACATAATCTTATCCATCTCTCCCCTCAATCACGAAAGCTAGCCTCCGTGGCTAGCTGAGTTGCTTACCAACCGAAAGGTTGCATTAAGGGGTGTGGGGAAGGGCCCCCGCCGAGGTGGGCATTTTTCGCACGTACATTCCCCAGCGGGAGCTGGGTCTGGGGCCGTCCCCGGTTTTGGGGTGTTTGAAGGTTTGTCCAAAGTGGAAAAACGGCTCCCCGATGATGCTCATCATGCGCGTGTGTTGGCCCTAAGAAGCCCCCCAATGATACTCATGATGCGTGCTTGTTGGCTGGGATTGGGATCCAAGAGGGAGGGCGTATTTTTTCGTTTTGTTTTTTGGGACCTTTTTTTTTTTCGCTGGGATCCCTTTGAAGGCAAGGAAGGAAGGAAGACGAAAGAAGGAAGGAGGGAAGGAAGAAAGGAAGGAAGGAACGAAGAAGGAAAGAAGGAAAGAAGGAAGGAAGGAAGGAACGAAGGAAGGAAGGAAGGAAAGAAGGAAAGAAGGAAGGAAGAAAGGAACGAGATAAGGAAGGAAGAAAGGAAGGAAGGAAGAAGGAACAAAGGAAGGAAGGAAAGAAGCAAGGAAGAAAGGAAGGAACGAAGGAAGGAAGGGGAGAAGGAAGAAAGGAAGGAACGAAGGAAGGAAGAAGGGAAGGAAGGAAGGAAAGAACGAAAGACGAGATGAAAAATAA